CTCGCGAGCGGCCGGCCAGAAAAGGAAAACTTATGCCCCCCCGTTTCCAAAAAGGAAAGCGTCCTTCCGACACGTGAAAACCGCAAAACAGAAACAACATGCCCGATCGCTATCACGTGACCCCACTATCCCCCAAAAGCCTCCCACGTCTCCCTCGCCCACACTTCCTCTTCCACGGCGTCTCATTCTTCTTCTCCATAAAAGAAAGGGATCCCATCCTGGCTCCAAAAACCTAGAGAGCTACTATGGCAAACCAAACAAGGCGATTTTTTTGGCAAGAACTGAACTGGTAACAAGAGGGAGGAGAGAGACGCACCAGGCAGCATCAATCAAGTGTAAGTTCCCTCATGGTTCTAGATCCCCAATTCTTCACATCCCCTTCCCCTTTGCCTCTGCATCTGCCACAAGTCTTCTCCATTATTGGAGGGACTAGCAACAGTAATCTGATGTATTTATAATTAAACACCACTCTATGCAATTAGACCCGGTAGCAAAACCAGCATCTGCCTGGATGTGTGCAAATAGACACAAGTGAGTAGTTTTGCAAAAAAAATGTGCAACAAACAACCTAGACTAGAAACATGGAGTGGATGTACTGTTTGTCCAAAAGGAGTACATATTTGTGCAACTAAATCATGGATTGAAGCTAACTTTTCCTGCAATGTGTGCAACCAACAACCAAAACTATAAAAGAGTAAATATATGTGCACACTAAGCATTAATCCAAGGACAACTTTCCTGCAAAATGTGTGCAACAAACAACCCATACTACAAAGATGGATTGAGTGTACTGTTTGTGCAAAACGAAGAACATTTTGTGCAACTAAGCCATTGGTCCAAAACCAACTTTCCTGCAGCATATGTGCAGAAAAACAACCCAGACTAGAAAGATGGACTGGGTGTACTGTTTCTGCAAAAAGAAGAACATATTTGTTCAACTAAGCATGGGTCTAAGCCAACCTTTTTATGCAAATGTGTGCAACAAACAGTACAGATTGGAGTCCATTTGTTCTAGTCTTTTTGCTATTGGTTGCACACAATGCAGGAAAAGATGGTTTTGGATCCATGTTTAGTAGGCACAAATATGGGGAGTGCGGATTTTCAGAGGCCGAGCACCAGGCAGGCCGGTATCCTCGGCGTTGGAATGGGCTTGGGGATCTGGAATCCGTCGGGCCGTTGGCAGGCTAGTGTCGGCCTAGTGTTTCATATACGGTCTGGGATACACCTACGTATACATGTTCGGCACATCGTGCGCTACTCTCTCATCCATTATTGCCATCGTCACCCTCGCTCTCTGTCGTCCTCGTTCCTATCGCCCCCACCCCCAGGTACCCAGGTACCCAGCCTCACCTCCAAGGTTCCAACGAGGGGAACGCCGGCGGGGAAGGAGCAGGACAGATCCGGCACAGGTATGTGTGCGGCCAGATCTGGAGGGGGGGTGGGGGCGCTGGCAGCATGAAGATGCAGGTGGGGCGGAGGGGGAAGGTGCCGGATTCGTCAGCGGGGACAACGTCATCTATGGCGCGAGCTCTAACCTTGCGATTCTTAGTGTTTTTTAAGCATGGGTGCTGTGATTTCGTTTCTTGGTTTTTTAAGCATGGTGCTGTGATTTCGTTTCTTGTTTGTTTAATACTCCGATCTGGTAAGGTCTTTGGCTCTGGATACACTAGTATGTGGTTAGCTTTTCATGGCCATGATTTTTTTCTTTATTTCTGTGATGTCCAATTTTCTTGAGAAAATCAATGTCAGTTGTGATCATCAATGAGTACTTTTGCTGGTCTTTGATTTTTGTTGAGGTGCCTCCTTTTGATCTTCACTCCAGTTACAGAAAAATGTTCATAAACCAGTGAGATTTTGTGATGTCTTGAGGAATCCATTTAACTTTGATAGTCGATGCTTCATCCTGCTGGAACTTAATAATGGTTTTGATGGTTTGTTCTTGATGTGCTAATCTAAGGCTCATAATTATTTCATTTGAGTAGGGTAAAGTTTGAATTCGTACCACTGATTGCAAAGATCTGAGTGGGAAAGAATGTTGTACTATTTTGATTCATGTAACTCTGTTGACATTTTTTTGAAGAACACCTCATGAAGGGTGTTCGTGCCTTTCTGTGCAATTAAACAAAAAGAAAAGTTTAGCCAGTTTCCCGTGATTAATCTGTTCATTTCGGTGGATAACTAAGCGAAGAAATAAATTTCCCCATTGCCAAGTCCTTGGAAATTAAATTAGCTATAATTAGCAGAACTGTCGGCAGGTGTGCCTTCATTGGTTTGGATCTGGACAATTAGCTGATTACCTTTTGATTGCATTGTTATATCTAGCATGATGCTATAACAAATGTGTTTTAGTTTTTGCTTCTGCTGTATAGTTATGGCATATCCTAGTCAGATCCAGTATAATTTATGTTAATGTGTTTTCCTTCATTATCTGGAAACACTTGGGGTTGTTTCTCATGCAAATGTGTTTATGTGATTATTCTCAGACTGCTAATAGGCACTCCAAAAGGAGATGGAGCTTAATCCCAATCGCAGGAGTGCTCTACAACATACGTCAACAAGAGAGATGGCTCAGTGATTAACCCATCTGGCTACTTAACCGCATCCGTACATGAAGATGCAATCTGTTCTTTGTGCTCTTGAGCAGCTTTGGGAGGAGTAGGAATTAGCAAGGATGAGTGGCAGTGGAAATATGCTTGCGTGAGTGAGATGCCATGTGGTTTCGTAAGTGAGCACTAGGCATGTTTGATGTAAAAAGGGTGTTGATTAAAGAGACCATAGTGCTTTAACATAATCTTGACACAAATTACCTATCCTGGAATTTGTCCGTGGTGGTGCTGAGGAATAAAATGTCACCACTTGTTCATTAACACTCACAAAATATGCTGATTGTTGGATGTTACACTGTCTGAGCATGATGGTTGGATCCCAAGTAACAAAATTGGGTGCTATTGGATAGAGTTCATCCACGTGTGCGTCAAAACTAATGGTGAAGTGTAGCACCTGCCAGGATTCCTTCAACTATTCCCACGAGCGGGTCAGTGCGCTTGGCAGTGTACAATGGAACATTGTCCGGGCTGGTCCAAGTGCTAGATTCCCTACCTAAAGCAGGCCCCTTTCTGCCTCAATACACGCTGCAGTGCAGCGATACAAGGGGACAACGCGCTAGAATACCGGGGAAGCTCGAATCCCCATAGAACACCAACGACCGGGATAAAGGCCTACCTGATGCTCGGCCGTCATTGGCATTTTTCGCAAATATGGGCTTCTATTTGCACATGCACTACATTCATTCTATCTTTTC